TTAGACACAAACACTGAGAGAGACACAAACACAGAGACACAAACACAGAGACACAGACACTGAGAGACACAAACACTGAGAGATACAAACACTGAGAGATACAAACACTGAGACACAAACACAGAGACACAGACACCAAGAGACACAAACAGAGACACAAATACTGCGAGAGACACAGACACTGAGAGACACAAAAACAGACAAACACTGAGACACAAACACCAAGAGAGACACAAACACTGAGAGACACAAACACTGAGACACAAACACTGACAGACACAAACACTGAGAAACACAAACACTGAGACACAAACACTGAGACACAAACAGAGACACAAACACTGAGAGATACAAACACTGAGACACAAACACTGAGACACAGACACTGAGAGACACAAACAGAGACACAAACACTGAGAGACAGAAACAGACACAAACACTGAGACAAACACCGAGAGAGACACACACACTGAGAGACACAAACACTGAGACACAAACAGAGACACAAACACAGAGACACAAACACTGAGAGACACAAACACTGAGACACAAACACTGAGACACAAACACTGAGACACAGACACTGAGAGACACAAACAGAGACACAAACACTGAGAGAGACACAAACACTGAGACACAAACACTGAGACACAAACACTGAGACACAAACACTGAGAGACACAAACACTGAGACACAAACACTGAGACACAAACACCGAGAGAGATACAAACACTGAGAGACATACACACTGAGACATAGACACTGAGACACAGACACTGAGACACAAACACTGAAATAGACACGAACACTGAGAGACATACACACTGAGACACAAACACTGAGAGAGACACAAACACAGAGAGACACAAACAGACACAAACACTGAGAGAGACACAAACAGAGACACAAAAACAGAGATACAAAAACAGAGACACAAACACTGAGACACAAACACTGAGACACAAACACTGAGACACAAACACTGTGAGAGAGACAAACACTGAGAGACACAAACACAGAGACACAAACACTGAGACACAACACTGAGAGACACAAACACTGAGAGACACAAAACAGAGACACAAACACTGAGACACAAACACAGAGACAGACAAACACCGAGAGACACAAACACCGAGAGACATACACACAGACACAAACACTGAGACACAAACACTGAGAGACATACACACTGAGACAAACACTGAGAGAGACACAAACACAGAGAGACACAAACACAGAGAGACACAAACACAGAGAGACACAAACACTGAGAGAGACACAAACACTGAGAGAGACACAAACACAGAGACACAAAAACAGAGACACAAAGACAGAGACACAAACACTGAGAGACACAAACACTGAGAGACACAAACACAGAGAGACACAAACACTGAGAGACACACTGAGAGACACAAACACTGAGGCACAAACACTGAGAGACACAAACACAGAGACACAAACACTGAGACACAAACACTGAGAGACACACCCACAGAGAGACACAAACACTGAGAGACACAAACACTGAGACACAAACACTGAGACACAGACACTGAGACACAAACACAGAGAGACACAAACACTGAGAGATACAAACACTGAGACAGACACTGAGAGACACACAAACAGAGACACAAACCCTGAGAGACACAAACACTGAGAGACACAAACACTGAGAGAGACAAACACAGAGACACAGACACTGAGAGACACAAACACTGAGAGAGACACAAACACAGAGACACAAACACAGAGACACAGACACTGAGAGACACAAACAGAGACACACACACTGAGAGACACAAACACTGAGAGACACACAAACACTGAGACACAAACACTGAGAGACACAAACACTGAGACACAAACACTGAGACACAAACACAGAGACAGACACTGAGAGAGACACTGAGAGAGACACAAACACTGAGAGAGACACAAACACTGAGAGACACAAACACATAGAGACACAAACACTGAGAGACACAAACACCGAGAGACACAAACACTGAGAGAGACACAAACACCGAGAGACACACAAACACCGAGAGACACAAACACTGAGACACAAACACTGAGAGAGACACAAACACTGAGAGACACACACACTGAGAGACACACACTGAGAGACACAAACACTGAGAGACACAAACACTGAGAGAGACACAAACACCGAGAGACACAAACACTGAGAGACACAAACACTGAGAGAGACACAAACACCGAGAGACACACACACTGAGAGACACACACTGAGAGACACAAACACTGAGAGACACAAACACTGAGAGAGACACAAACACCGAGAGACACAAACACTGAGAGAGACACAAACACCGAGAGACACAAACACTGAGACACAAACACTGAGAGAGACACAAACACTGAAAGACACACACACCGAGAGACACACACACTGAGAGACACACACACTGAGAGACACAAACACTGAGAGACACAAACACAGAGACACAAACACTGGGAGAGACACAAACACCGAGAGACACACACACTGAGAGACACACACACTGAGAGAGACACAAACACTGAGAGATACAAACACCGAGAGACACAAACACAGAGAGACACAAACACTGACAGACACAAACACAGAGACACAAACACTGAGAGACAGAGACACAAAGACTGAGAGACACAAAGACAGAGAGATACAAACACTGAGAGAGACACAAACACAGACACAAACACTGACAGACACAATCGCTGAGAGAGACACAAACACTGAGAGAGACACAAACACAGAGACACAAACACTGAGACACAAACACTGACAGACACAAACGCTGACAGACACAAACACAGAGAGAGACACAAACACTGACAGACACAAACACTGAGAGAGACACAAACACTGAGAGAGACAAACTCTCCCCTCTGGGTGTCTCAGCAGAGTGTACACGCTGGCTTAGGTAAGAGGGTTCTGTTCAAAATACTTCAAAACGTGTTTTCATCTTTCAAAGTTTTAACTTAAAGCCTGTGACGGATAGCACGTAAGAGATGATGAGAGATGGTGATGGTGATAAGTGATGGTGATCATGATGATTTCAGATCGTGATGATGATGATAAGAGATGGTGAAGCCAGCCACTGATGTGGAGCCGATGGCAGGGCTGCTGCCTCCCATCGATTCTGCAGGCGAGGGCTGTCAGCGGGCGCCGTTGCTGCTCCGGTTCAGTTCTTGCGCGCGATGGCAACAGCAGCAGAAGCGATGCAGTGCAGGGGCTCGATGCCAATGTCGAGCTCTGCTGCTGCTGCTGGCCACGACGAGAGGCAGACCGCGGTGGGTCACCGTGCGGTCCAGAGTTCGCGCTGGCCTGGCCTGCGTCGACAGTTTTCCATTCGTGGTAGTGGACGTGCGCATCGGCCTGCTGATGCCCTGATGCGGTTGACGGTTCCACCGGTGTCCTGGAGGAGGAATGTCAAAGCCAGGAGGCGCGGTGATGTTCGGGTCTCGAATGAGGAGGTGGTTATTCTGGACATCCGCGCGATTCCACTCTTGTCCGTCAGCGTTCTTGGAGCAAGGCTCTGTGTACACCAACACGAGTAAGGTCTGGGCTAGATGCTGGGAGGGCAACGGAGCGATCGCAGGAGGAGCCGACGGCGATCCACGTGGCGAGGCCTCGGCCCGCGGACAGCCCGTCGCTGGCAAGGAAACTCCCTCGCAGTCTGCACAATTTACATTGAGACCTCCTTTGCCAGTAACAAGATATAGTAATAGGTTTTCACCCTTTTAGCTGGCGCAAAAACTGACACCTTTATACAGGGGATCATGTTTGCAATAACCACAACACAAGCAGTCAAAAATGCAAACAAAAAGAGACAACTCTGGTAATGATATGCACTGTCCTTGAATTTGATTGGTCCACAATCAAATTCAAAAGCCGTCTCGGGTGTGGACCAATCAAATTCAAGGACAGTGCCAATATTATCAGAGTTGTCTCTTTTTGTTTGCATTTTTGACTGCTTGTGTTGTGGTTATTGCAAACATGATGCCTTGAATAAAGGTGTCAGTTTTTGTGCCAGTTAAAAGTGTAAAACCTATTTCTATATCGTGTTACTGGCAAAGGAGGTCTCATAATGTAAATGCTCACCCCGACCTCTCAATAGTCTGATAGTGCGCTGTTTTTGAGTTGTACGCCTTTTGGCGTCTTCTGGTCCAACACCAATGGAGACTAAAGGGCTCTTAAGAAAAGCTGTCTCGGGTGTGGACCAATCAAATTCAAGGACAGTGCCAATATCATTATCAGAGTTGTCTTTTTTGTTTGCATTTTGACTGCTTGTGTTGTGGTTATTGCAAACATGATGCCTTGAATAAAGGTGTCAGTTTTTTTGTGCCAGTTAAAAGGGTAAAAACCTATTACTATAGTCTGCAGAACGTTCGACGGAACAGCGAGCCAGGGGACTGGTGTCCGGTTCAGAACTCCGGCGACGGTGCGCACCGCATCACAGTTGTGTGTGTGGAGCGCAGTGACTCTGCCGCTGGGCGGATCAGCGATGTGGGTGGCAGTGAGAAGCACGTCGGCGTCCTTGGGGGCACTGCACCGTGACGGTTTCGGCGGTTTGATCCGCGGGTCGCATCGCTGACCACGCCGTGGTCGCTGGGCTCACCGCTCCGTCGCTAACCCGTGCGTCTGTGCGTCCTCGTGCCCGCGCGTGTTCTCGTGTGCCTGCGGGGAGTGGCGGCGCACTGGTTTGCGCCAAGCACTACAAATCCAGCGAGCCCGAGTTCCACACCCACTCACGACCCAATAACGGCGAACATCCGAACCGGGCCTGGGCCTCCCCTAGGTTGAACTCGGCCCTAAATGAGTACCTGGTGCGGTGTGGCCGGGCGTGACGCTGGCCACCCACCCACCCCTCCCTCACGTGCCGCGCCGGCCTTCGTAGGCGCCGCTCGCCAACAGCACTTGCAACCAACAACCCAGCTAAGTCCACGCGTGGGGGTTCTTTGTGCGCTGTGCGCGTCCCTGCAGGCGTGGAGGACGAGATGGCGCTGGCGCTGGAGCTGAGCCGGCGCGAGCAGCAGCAGCAGCAGGGGGGGGGCGAAGGGGGGCCCCAGGCGATCGCGGGGGACGGGGCCCCCCAGGCTCGCCGCACGGAGCGCACGCAGAGCTGCCCCTCCGAGTACTTCTACGTGTCGGACAGCGACGAGGACGACGAGGAGATGCAGCTCGCCATGGCCTACAGCCTGTCCGAGCAGGAGGCGCGGCGCACGGGTGAGGCGGCGGCGGCGATGTTTTTTACGCACAGCGCCATGTACTCGTTTCAGGCCGAGTAGACCCAGCAGAGGCCCAGGACCGATTTAGATAGCCGTCGCCGGTGTTGCTGACCGCGAGCGGGAGTCGAACTCGGTGTCGCCGGGTTCGTAGCGCAAGAACTCGAACCGCTACCACTAGCGTGCAGCAGGGATAAAGGTCGCCTGTATAGCCGTAGCAGACTACTGTTGGGGGCGTGCTGTTAGCGAGTAGCAGCAGCTGTGAAGGCCGCCACGGGACACGACACTCTCCCGCCTTCTCACTCTGCGCGCACTCCTCCACTCGCGCTCTCAAGGCAACGTTACGAAACCATCCACGCCACGTGATCTTGACGCGAGTCTGGCCATCTTGGTTGGGAAATCATTCCGCCGTACCCCAGGGGGGCTCGCTCCAGTCACTGGCCGTGCAGAACGCACTCACACACACACAGACACACACACAAGCACACACACACGCACACACACACACAGACACTCACACACACACACACAGACACTCACACACACACACAGACACTCACACACACACACAGACACTCACACACACAGACACTCACACACACACAGACACTCACACACACAAGCACACACACACGCACACGTGCGCTCACACGCACGCACACGCACAGACACTCACACACACAAGCACACACACACGCACACGTGCGCTCACACGCACGCACACGCACAAGCTCACACACGCACACACATGCACGCACACGCACACACGAACGCACACACACTCACAAGCTCACACACGCACACACATGCACGCACACGCACACAAGCTCACACAAGCACACACGAACGCACACACACACACGAGTATTTGACTGCATCACAATGGGCGCGCGTGCGTTTTTAAATCTCACGTTTGAGTCACAGCCCGCTCCGCCATCGTGGCAACAGTTGTTGAACGAAGCTGCCGAGTACAGGGGAGAAGCGTTCCCGCACTCTGGCCTTGACGCTGAGCCCTGGCCGCGTGTCGCCCCGCAGGAGTGGTGTGAGCCTGGGCGAGCGTGGACGCCTCCTCGTCTCCTGCTCCTCCTCCTCCTCTGCGTCGCCTCCTCCTCGTATTTATTCTCGACCCCACAAGCGCGCGCAACCCCAGGACCCCTCGCCAACCCCCCTGCCCCCACTAGTGGATGGTGCACCCCCGCGACCCCGCTGACCCCCGCGACCCCGCTGACCCCGCTGACCCCTGCTCGCCCCCCTCCCCCCCCTCCACTCTGCGGCGTGGCCCCAGGTTCGCACCGTTGCCAGATGTGGAGAGCGAGATCCCCGCGAGTAACGCCGCCACTTTTTGCGCGATGTTCCCGGCTTCGGATCCGCAAGCGGCTTGTTGGGTCGGTCCACGTGGCGACCTCGCTGAGCAGGAGACAGCCGCCGGGCGCGAGGCCTCGTTCGCACTTTGTGATTCGCACTTCCCGGACCTCGCCCTGAACATGCCTGGCGCAGTTTCGAGTGAAACGTCCGTCGATCTAAGCACTAAATTTGGATGTGGTCTCTAACCCACAGGGTGAGCAAGTTGGTGAGCGAGTGGGTGGGTGAGTGAGTGAGCAGGTGGGTGAGTGAGTGAGTGAATGGGTGAGTGGGCGAGTAAGCTAGCTAGTGGATGAGTGAGTGGGTGAGTGAGCTAATGAGTGAGCGAGTGGGTGAGTGAGCGAGTAGGTGGGTGGGTGAGCGAACGAGTGGGCGAATGAGTGAGCGAGCGAGTGGGTGAGTGAGTGGGCAGATGAGCGAGTGGGTGAGCGAGCAGGTGAGCGAGCAAGTGGGTTTGTGAGCAGGTGAGCGAGCGAGTAGGTGAGTGAGTAGGTGAGTGAGCGAGTGGGTGAGTGAGCAGGCGAGCGAGTGGGTGAATGAGCGGATGAGAGAGTGAGCGGGTGGGCGAGCGAGTGCGTGAGTGAGCGAGTGAGTGGATGAGTAAGCGAGCAAGTGGATGAGTGAGTGGGTGAATGAGTAAGCGAGCAAGTGGGTGAGCGAGTTTGCGAGCGAGCGAGTGAGCGAGCGGGTAAGTGAGCGAGCGAGTGGATAAGTGAGCGGGTGAATGAGTGAGTGGGTGAATGATTGAGCGAGCGAGTGGGAGAGAGATTGAGTGGGTGAGCGGGCGAGTGGGCGAGCGAGCGGGTGAGTGAGTGGGTGAGCAAGCGGGTGAGCGAGCGGGTGGGCGAGCGAGTGGGCGAGCAAGCAGGTGGGTGAGTGAGTGGGTGGATGAGTGAGCGGGTGAACGATTGAGCGAGCGAGTGGGAGAGAGATTGAGCGGGCGAGCGAGTGTTTGGTTGAGTGGACGAGCGAGCTGCAACGGCAACGATCGACGGGCTCTTCGCCAAACGCCCGCGCACCCACGTGACTATTACATTTGTTTGGCCGCGTCGGGCGGCGGGCGGGGGTTCTTGCATGACACAAACATTCTCGCGATCATCATTACGCGTGAACCCGAAATAAATCGATGACGAATCGCGACAGCGGGGCCGCGCCCAGCTGCCGGGCCCGCGACTACAACCGCGGCCGGTAGCTTCCTTCCCGCGGCCCCATTGCCCTCGATTCGTCTCACGCGGGGGAGCGGGGGGGGGGGGGAGGTCAATGGGCGTCACGGTCCGCGCGAAAAACAATTGAACTGCAGCACGGTGGAATTTATGTTGCATGTAGAGAGGTCCCGAGGCGTTTGACAACGGGAGAAAAAAAACAAACAAAACTGGAGCTATTTATCTCTGAAGTTAAACGACACTCGACACTCTCACCCCCGCCCCCCCCCCCCCCTGCCTGAGTTATTGTACGCATTTTCTAATTTGACATTTCTCAAACGTTTAGTTGCGTAGCCTGCGAGACCACGCTCGCAGTGTGTCTCCGACCCTCGTGCCTGGCTTGGGTCAACCCTTTGGCCTGGGGCCGTGCAGGCACGAGAGGGTAGTGTTGGGGGCAGGGGCTGGGGATTCCCTCGCCTCTGCCGTGTGGCGACTCCGGGTCCCGCGCCTTGCCTGGCCGTGACCCGCGCTGTCGGTGGCCGAGCCGGTTGGGGGCAGGAATCCATTTGTACCGAGGCCTGGTTGCCGGCGTTGCCGGAGAGACCGCGGTCACGGCCCGATCGTCGATCTCGTGCCGACCGAAGAACCGCTCGGGTTCGGGGAGACGCTGCGGGAGCCTCGGCGGCGATGACCCCTGGGGCACTTCACGGTCTAAGCGGTGCCCCCCACCCCGACCCACCCCGTGGTGCCCGTGGTTCACTTGGCGCCGCCGCTGAGGACGCGGCTCCTTATAGCTCGGCCTCCTCCATCGACGCGGTTGGGGGGGGTGGGGGGTCACTGCGTCCGCACGCGAAGTCGCCCCGCGGGGAGAGGACGGCCGTAGCCGGGAAGAATCAAAGCCATTGCGAGCCAGGGTCCAGTGCCCCCCCCCCCACCCAGCGGGCAGAATTCCCAAAACTCCACGCCTTGGGAATCCACCCCCCACCCCTCACCTGCAACGCTGCTGCGTCTATCCGCGTAGATCAATCGGCACCTCCACATTCGAAACTAAAAACTATCACAGAGTTTTTGTATTGTACCAGGTAGATCAATCGACTCCTGCCCATTCGAAACTAAAAACTATCACAGAGTTTTTGTATTGTACCAGGTAGATCAATCGACTCCTGCCCATTCGAAACTAAAAACTATCCCAGAGTTTTTGTACTGTACCAGGTAGATCAATCGACTCCTGCCCATTCGAAACTAAAAACTATCCCAGAGTTTTTGTACTGTACCAGGTAAGGACCCACTGAGCTGTAGAGCTGTTTCTCAGAACCGACCTGGCCGCTCAACGAAGTGGCTCATCACGTGGAAACGTACAGCAACCAAACACTCCAAACGCGTGATGTTGATTCTGGAGACAAGTCCACGTGATCACGGGGAGAGAGAGAGAGACACCGCAAACCCCAAATATACAGCAGCAGCAGGTGTCAAGATCAGGATCGAACCCACGACCTCCTGCACACCGGGCGAGGTAGTCAACATCTCCTAGCCACCGTGGCGCCCCACAAATCAACTCGTTCCACGCTGCTGCACGCGTCTGATCATTTGACGCTTTTCTGTGTCGTGTGGCACACACGGAATCGGCTCCGTTTTCGCGGCGCTCGTCGCTGAGCGCATCGCGTGGGTCCTGCTGAACAATCATCGGCTGCGTGCATGCAGCGGGGAGCGAGTTCATTCGTTGGTAAACGTGGAAAGACGGAGTGTGGTCGTGGTGGTGGGTCTTGAGGATTGGAGTTTAGGAAACCGTGGCGTGGGGATAACCTCTCGTCTGCTAACCGCTGAGCGTATCTTACCCCCAACCACCACATTCCTTCCCCCATTTCCCCACGAGCCCTCCGTGAATCCAGCTCAGCGATGAGCACCGAGCCGCCCTGGATCCTGCTCGCAAACCCCCCCCCCCCCCGGAGCGGAGCACCCCAGCCCACGGAGCCGGAGTTCGAACCCCCCTCCCCCTCGATTGATCTCCTTCGGTGGCGGAACTCGCGCAGAGAGCTGAGCGCGTCGAGGCGGTGACCTGTTGCCGTCGCCAGAGCCCCTGCTCCCAACGCTAACCCTTCAACCCCAACTCGAGCCGTGATCCCACCGTCAACACTTACCCCGAGTCTGATCTGCTCCACACCCCTAAAGCAAATCAACAATCTGGTCCTAACCCTACCTGTCCCCGAGTGCTAACTCTGACCATAGAACTAATCCCACCCACCCCATGGCACCGACCTCAACAGGCACTCCAGCCAGAGTCCGAAGCCCCCCACGGTGACCACCACAGCTACCATCGTCACCGCCATCATCGTCACCACCACCACCATCGTTATGATTATTATTGTAATTGTTAAGGATTTACTGTGTTTTAAGTATGCGAAGCTTCTTTAAGGCTGCTATATTGTAATGAGAATTGCAACTGAAATTTAAAATACGAAATGTACTCGAGAGTATCTGAGAGGGGTCGCGTCCCTGGCGTTGTTGTGTGCGGGAGTGGGCTGGGCACCCACACCACGTGCCACGTGCCCACCTGCTGGCACCACCCACACCACGTGCCCACCTGCTGCCACCATCCACACCACGTGCCCACCTGCTGGCACAATCCACACCACGTGCCCACCTACTGGCACCACCCACACCACGTGCCCACCTGCTGCCACCACCCACACCACGTGCCCACCTACTGGCACCACCCACACCACGTGCCCACCTACTGGCACCACCCACACCACGCGCCCACCTGCTGGCACCACCCACACCACGTGCCCACCTGCTGCCAGCACTCACACCACGTGCCCACTTGCTGGCACCACCCACACCACGTGCCCACTTGCTGGCACCACTCACACCACGTGTCCACTTACTGGCACCACCCACACCACGTGCCCACCTGTTGCCACCACTCACACCACGTGCCCACCTGCTGCCACCACCCACACCACGTGCCACGTGCCCACCGGCTGGCACCACCAACACCACGTGCCCACCTGCTGGCACCACCCACACCACGTGCCCACCTGTTGCCACCACCCACACCACGTGCCCACCTGCTGGCACCACCCCCGACGGCTCCTACGCTGCCACGCACCCCCCACCACACAGGGGACACGGCAGTGCACGTGGGCTGCAGCAGAGCACGAGCAGGAGAGAAGCGTCGACATTGCAACTTCGACCACTGGGCTTGTGCGGCGTCTGGGTGTGAGTGTGGGGGGGGTACAGCTGGTGGTGTGCATCTTCCAGCCATCAGTCATCTCAGTCCGTCAACCCGTGGCACCCGAGTCTGCCCCGTGACCTCCTGGTCAGCGAGCCTCACGTCAGCGAGCCTCACGTGGCCTCAAAGTGCACCTGGCCTGGCACAGGCGCCGGAGTGATGTCACCTCCACTTCGTGGTGAATGGCGAGAGTGTTGTTGTTGTGGAGAGCGGTGATACACGGTTAGCGCACTTACACCATGAATCCAGCGACCCGAGTTCAATTCCCGCCCACGGCCACCAGCACCGGTGACGATTATCTGAACCCGTCCTGGGCCTCCCCTAGGTCGACTCGGCCGAGTGTGGTACTGACCACCCGCCCTGTGCCCTGCCGGCCATCGTAGGTGCTCGCTAACGGCACTTGCCACAAGAGTCTGTCCAGGCTATGTGGGAGGGGGCATCTTTGCTGTTTTGGTGTGCGAGTGGGCTGGTGTACAGCCCTAATGGTGGGGGAATTGCTAAAGGAAAATGGAAGGGTGCTGTGATCGAATCCAAAAACACCTGTAAGAGGACCCATCACCTCTCCAAAGATACCCTGCGTAGCCTTCAAAAGACTGCCAGGGCAAAGTGCTGTTCGCTAGCGCCTATGAAGGGCAGCACAGGACACGAGGGGGGTGGGTGACCAGCACCACGTCCGTGCCACCTTTGTCTCCCTGCTGATGTTTAACACACCATGCCCAGGTACGCATTTAAGGCCGAGTTCACCTCGGCGAGGCCACAGGCACTGTTAAAATATTCACCACTGTTATTGGTCGCGAACGGGAATCGAAGTCGGGGTCGCTGGGTTCGATAGCGGAGCGCGCTAACAGCTGCGCCGCCATTCCCCGCGCCTATCTCGCAACACACGGCGTGCGTCGCTCCACACGAACAAATACCCAGGTCTCCATTGCGAGCGGAACAAGTCGCGAACGTTTATTAGGGCTGTGGAGGCGGACACTCGGAGATGGGTTGACTCAGTCGCTCGCAGCAACAGTGACCCACCCACGGGGCTCTTCCACGGCCCCTCCCCCCGGTCACTGCTGCCCATTCTGGTCTCTTTGAAACCGCTCCAGAAACTCGAGGTAGATGGCCTTCTGGGGCGGGGAAGCGGGGACGAAGTGGCCTGGGGGCAGACGGGAAAAGTCCCCTGAGGAGGTCAGAGGGCACAGGTTCACACCCTGGTGCGCAATCGGCTCATCTGAACCGCACCGCCACCACCGTCGCCATCATCATGGTCATCAGCATCAATCACTGATTATAATCGGCCTTTAAGCACTGATTGTCATCACCATCAATCACTTATCATCACCAATCACTGATCATCACCACCACCAATCACTTGTCATCACCATCGATCATCACTATCAATCACTGATCATCGTCTTCACCATCATCACCATCAATGATCACCGTCAATTCGCACCAGCCACTCCGTGCGGCAGGGTTGATGTGCAGAAGGGGAGGGGATCAGATTCAGGGTTTGGTAAGAGTGGTGCGCAGTGAGGGCAAGTGGGTGGTGAGTGAAGGCGAGTTGTGAGTGTGTGAATGTGGATCGTGGTGAACGTGTCACTCCACACCTGCTGGCTGGGTGCACGTGGCTGAAGTGAGAGTGTAAGTCACGTATTTGTGTGATTAGCGATGGGCGTTGACCGCCCAGATGTGTGAGTGGGGGTACGTGTGTGTGTAGTGGCAGTGTAGCGGTTAGCGCGCTGTGCTTAGAACCCGGCGACCCGAGTTCGATTCCCGCTCACGGCCAACACCGGCGGTGACGAGTATCTGAATCTGTCATGGGCCTCTCCTAGGACGACTCAGCCTCAAATGAGTACCTGGTGTGGTGCGTAAACATCGCCACATTCCAGCCTGCATAGGTTCACGCTAACAGCACTTGCCCCAACAGTCTGTTCAGGCTACACGGGGGATCTCTGTTATTTCTTTGCGCGCCAGTGTGATTGTGAGTGGTCATTGTTAAGGACCTTCATGATCGTGGTCAAAGCCATTCCCTGTTCACCACGGGGTGCGACATGGATGTCCTCTCGCCCCTACACTATTTAACATCTTCTCTTACCATGTGGTTCGATAAACTTTCCATCTGGTACAGATACAATGTAAGGCTGATCGATGCCCAAGTGCAGTCATGTTACGTATGCGGATGACCTGGTAATTCCTGCTCAATTACCAGAGGGGTTGGGGCCACTATTGCGGAACTTGGAGCGCGCTACTGAAAGGTGGGGACATACCATCAGCCCCACCAAAACTAAGCACCTGCCTGGATATTTATATAGAATGCTCCAGCCCATCCACTCCACATGAGTGATGGGGCGTTCGTGGAGAGAGTGGAGAAATGTTCGTACCTGGGCAGTGTGCCTATAACCAGCTCCAGTGTGGCAATGGAAGTCTCGCTCGGTCGAGTGGCATGCTCCTTTCTTCAGCTGCGTGACACTGGGTAGCAGCTACATGGCCTCACGCTCCATACAAAGCTCTGCATCTTCTCTAAGAGTTCTACCTGTCAACTGCTTATCAGTGCCCTACCTTATTACAGACCAACTCAGACCTTATTGGTCACCCCGTGCCCTTATAAATCTCAACGTTCATCTTACAAAGTCCCATCACAAGGGAGAAACACAAAAAATATTGTTGTGCCCGTATTGAAACGACTGTACACCGTATGGACCTGAAAACTCCCTGGACAAGAATAATACGGGATAAACAATATGGGTTAACAGCTGTGCATAGTTATGCCCTCCCTTTATGTTTGCGAAACATGGATCCCTTTGAAGGAACATCTGTGCCATTTTTAAACATTCAGGCCGGCCTGCGCCTATGATTCATCCTGGGTTTAACCAGACTGGATTGAGCTCACAGTCACATCAGTGAACTCTTCCACCAGCCGAGGCTGCGTTAGCTGAGTCATGTAGCCCGCATGCCCAGCCACCCCTTGCCCAAGCAGAGGACTAAACGGTACAGGAGGAATTGGAGCTGTGTGGAGTTGCCAATGACCGGTATCAGCGGTGTCAAGATCGGCCTCTGTGGAGAAGGCTCTTGAAGAACGCTACTGGCGAGTTTGAGGCAGTCGCCGTCCAACAACAACGGAGGGCAGAGGAGCGACGCTCACAACAACGAGCGGAGCGCTGGGCAGCAAGTTGGCACAATGGGGAGCACAATTAGTGCATCTGCCACCCATCTCCATCAACCCACGGCACTTGGGTCTGTTCCGTGACCTAAAAGCGAGCCTTCCTTTGACACTTCACGTGATCTCAAAGTGCACCTAGGCTGGCACAAGTGCTGTGTGCACATTACTGGTGAATGGCGGTTGTTGTTTACTTCCCGAGTGTAGCACGTGATGAGTGTGAGTGTTGTGAGCGAGACAGCGAGCGAGCGCGGAATAAGTTTGCCCCCCAGCTGGATGAGCTCACTCGCGTGACGGTGAGCGAGTGAGTGGGTGAGTGAGTGGGTAAGTGAACGAGTGAGTGAGTGAGAGAGCGAGTGAGTGGGTGAGTGAGTGAGAGAGCGAGCGAGTCAGTGGGTGAGTGAGTGGGTAAGTGAACGAGTGAGTGAGAGAACGAGTGAGTGGGTGAGAGAGTGAGTGAGAGCGCGAGTGAGTGGGTGAGAGAGCGAGTGAGTGGGTGAGTGAGAGAGCGAGTGAGTGGGTGAGTGAGTGAGTGAGCGAGTGGGTGGGTGAGAGAGCGAGTGAGTGGACGAGTGAACGGGTAAGCGAGCGGGTGACAGAATGGGTGAGCGACCGAGTGAGTGAACGAATGAGCGAGAGAGTCAGTGATTTTGCGTGCAAGCGAGTTAGTGAGTAAGCGAGTTGGTGAGTGAGCGAGTAGGTGAGCAAGTGAGTGAGTGGGTGAGTGCGAGCGAGTGAGAGGATGAGTGAGTAGGTGAGTAAGAGCGAGTGAGTGGTTGAGTGGGTAAGTGAGCAAGCGAGCAAGTGAGGTACGCTCCGGGTGGATGAGCTCACTCGGGAGTGAGTGGGTAAGTGAACGATTGAGAGAGCGAGTGAGTGGGTGAGTGAGAGAGCAAGTGAGTGAGTGAGGGAGCAAGTGAGTGGGTGAGTGAACGAGTGAGTGAGTGAGAGCGAGTGAGTGAGTGGGTGAGTGAACGAGCAAGTGGGTGAGAATATAAGTGTAAGTGAGCGAGAGAGTGAATGGGTGCGTGAACGAACGAGCGGGGTGCGTGAACGAACGAGCGAGGTACCCCCCGGGTGGACGAGCTCGTTGACGTGAGTGTGTGAGTGGGTGAATTAATGAGTAAATGTGTGAGTGTGTGAGTGGGTGAATGAATGAGTGTGTGAGTGGGTGAGTGAGTGGGTGAATGAGTGGGTGAGTAAGTGTGTGAGTAGGTGAGTAAGTGAGTGAGTGGGTGAGTGAATGAGTGAGTGGGTGAGTGAGTGGGTGAATGAATGAGTAAATAAGTGAGAGAGTGAATGAGTAAATGTGTGAGTGGGTGAGTGAGTGGGTGAGTGAATGAGTGTGTGAGTGGGTGAGTGAGTGGGTGAGTGGGTGAGTGAGTGGGTGAGTAAGTGTGTGAGTGGGTGAGTGAGTGGGTGAGTGAATGAATGAGTAAATGTGTGAGTGAGTGAATGAGTAAATGTGTGAGTGGGTGAGTGAGCGAGCGAGCGAGGTACCCTCCGGGTGGACGAGCTCCCTGGCATGCGAGTGAGTGAGCGAGCGAGTGGATGAGCGAGCGAGTGGGTGAGCGAGCGAGTGGGTGAGCGGGTGAGGGAGGTACCTCCTGGGTGGACGAGCTCGCTGGCGTGCGACTGGGTGGGTGAGTGAGCGAGCGAGTGGATGAGTGAGCGAGCGGGCGAGCAGGCGAGTGAGTGAGGTACCCCCTGGATGGACGAGCTCGCTGGCGTGCGAGTATCCCTGCTGCAGCTCGGCGCTGCGCTGGTGGGCGATGACGCGGTCCGTGAGGCCGCGCACGTGCAGGCTGGGCGTGGAGACGGCGCCGCCTGCGTACGCGCCCCGGTGCACCGCGGAGCTGCTCCGGAAGCCGGACACCAGCACCGCGAAGCCAAACGAGAAGCGCGAGTCTGGCACCATGCCGGGGGGGAGGGAGGGGTAGTAGTGGTGGTGATGGCAGTGGTGTTGGTATTTGTGGCGCTGGTGGTGATGGTAGTGGTGTTGGTAATGGTACTGATGGTGCTCGTGATGGTAGTGGTGCTGGTGGCGGTGACAGTAGTGGTGGTAGTGGTGTTGATGGTAGTGGTGTTGATGGTAGTGGTGTTGATGGTAGTGGTGGTGGTAGTGGAGGTGATGGTAGTGGTGTTGATGGTAGTGGTCGTGGTGGTAGTGGAGGTGATGGTAGTGGTGGTAGTGGAGGTGATGGTAGTGGTGTTGGTAGTGGTGGTAGTGGAGGTGATGGTAGTGGTGTTGATGGTAGTGGTGGTAGTGGAGGTGATGGTAGTGGTGTTGATGGTAGTGGTGGTGGTGGTAGTGGAGGTGATGGTAGTGGTGGTGGTGGTAGTGGAGGTGATGGTAGTGGTGTTGGTAGTGGTGGTGGTAGTGGAGGTGATGGTAGTGGTGTTGATGGTAGTGGTGGTAGTGGAGGTGATGGTAGTGGTGGTGATGGTAGTGGTGATGGTGGTGGTAGTGGTGATGGTAGTGGTAGTGGTGATGGTAGTGGTAGTGGTGCTGATGGTAGTGGTGTTGATGGTAGTGGTGGTGGTAGTGGAGGTAGTGGTCGTGGTGGTAGTGGAGGTGATGGTAGTGGTGGTAGTGGAGGTGATGGTAGTGGTGTTGGTAGTGGTGGTGGTAGTGGAGGTGATGGTAGTGGTGTTGATGGTAGTGGTGGTAGTGGAGGTGATGGTAGTGGAGGTGATGGTAGTGGTGATGGTAGTGGTAATGGTGCTGATGGTAGTGGTGTTGATGGTAGTGGTGGTGGTAGTGGAGGTGATGGTAGTGGTGTTGATGGTAGTGGTGGTGGTAGTGGAGGTGATGGTAGTGGTGGTGGTGGTAGTGGAGGTGATGGTAGTGGTGTTGGTAGTGGTGGTGGTAGTGGAGGTGATGGTAGTGGTGTTGATGGTAGTGGTGGTAGTGGAGGTGATGGTAGTGGTGGTGATGGTAGTGGTGATGGTGGTGGTAGTGGTACTGGAGGTGATGGTAGTGGTGTTGATGGTAGTGGTGGTAGTGGAGGTGATGGTAGTGGTGATGGTAGTGGTGATGGTAGTGGTGATGGTAGTGGTGGTGATGGTAGTGGTGGTGATGGTAGTGGAGGTGATGGTAGTGGAGGTGATGGTAGTGATGATGATAGTGGTGGTGGTGACGGTATTGATGGTGGTTGTTCACCATTATCCCTCTGCATGGCGAGGATGAGAGAAGCCATGGAGGCTCCTTGACTGAAGCCCAAAATTCCTGATGAGGAGGAGGAGGGACGGGAGGGGGAGGAGGACGAAGAGGAGTCAGGACACACTCCGACTTCCACTACACTGGGTTACCGGTTACTGATTACCGGTTAACAACCCTAAGGGAGACATTGATAGGGAGATCCAGAGGCGAGCGATGGCAAACGAATGGACAGACGCGCGTTCCAGTTAAATGTACGCCAAAGTGATGTGGGGGTGCAGGGAGGGTGCAGCAGCCAGAGATGGAGAGGCCTGCCGGGCTGCACAATGGAAGTGGCACGCCGAGTGAAATGTGCAGAGTGCACGAACGACACGGGCGGCGTGGAGAGAGAAACAGAGTGAGGTGCCGAGAGAGTGAGGAGAGAGAGACAGAGTGAGGTGCCTAGAGAGTGAGGAGAGAGAGAGACAGAGTGAGGTGCTGAGAGAGTGGGGAGAGAGAGAGACAGAGTGAGGTGCCGAGAGAGTGAGGAGAGAGAGACAGAGTGAGGTGCTGAGAGAGTGAGGAGAGAGAGACAGAGTGAGGTGCCTAGAGAGTGAGGAGAGAGAGAGACAGAGTGAGGTGCCGAGAGAGTGAGGAGAGAGTGGATACCCGAAGGGCGACGGACCCCAACATCTTCAGGGGCTGGTCAACGTGCTCTTCGGCTACGCCAAGGTCGCCATATACAGGGCGAGGAAGGTGGCCCTGGAGGGGCAACGTCCAGCCAGCAGCCTGGGCATCTTCCGCGCTCTAGTCGGGCCAGGGTGTGGCTGGAGTTCCGCCACGCGCGGCTGACCCACGCCGTGCCGGCCTTCAAGGAGCAGTGGGCGCTGGAGGAGGCCGTGTGCTCGGTGGCAGATGACGGAGAGCTCTGCATGCAGATCTAAGCTACCCGTCGGAGGCCGTTTGACTGTGGGAAGGGCTGCGTGCAGGTGCAGCACTTGTCGTAGTTATAAAGAAAAAAGAGAGCGAGAGAGAGCCAAATGGAGTAGGTAGAGAGGGGGCAGAGAGAGAGGGGGGGCGGAGAGGGGGTAGAGAGAGAGGAGAGGCAGAGAGGGGGGTAGAGAGAGAGGGAAGAGGAAAGGAGAGAAGAAAATATAATTTGTTGGGTCTTTCATTTAAAGGGGGGGGGGGGGGGGGGGGTTACCTAAAGCAAAGCATAAAATAACAAAAAAACGAAATGATGAACGGAGCAAAGTGCCGACTACACCGAGCATCTTCTTGTTTCCTCTGATCGTTAAAAAAGAAAAAAAAAAGAGAGTGAGTGTCCCGAGAGAGTGAGGAGAGAGAGAGACAGAGTGAGGTGCTGAGAGAGTGAGGAGAGAGAGACAGAGTGAGGTGCCTAGAGAGTGAGGAGAGAGAGAGAGACAGAGTGAGGTGCTGAGAGAGTGAGGAAGGCGCTGCAGGCCAACATCACTGCCAAGCAGGCGCAATGGGAGGAATGTTACAAGATCAAGAAGCGCCGTCTCCACGAAGCAAGATCTGAGCTCGGCGTCACCGTATTTGAAAGGCATCCGTTCAAACAGACCCTTTCCTCCACTTGCCACTGTCCGCGTGGCCCTGAACCCTGTATAGTTCTCACCGTGGTGGCGTGGATTTTACTTTGGGTCCTCCGGTTTTTCCGTTCACATTTAGAAATATGCGTTAGAAATCTCCACGTGATTAGCTACTTAATTGAGCTATCGTTTGTGATAGCCAGGTCGCTTCTGAAAACGTTATTTAGCTCAGTGGGCCTTACCTGGTAAAAAAAAAATATAAGAGGTGGTGACACCAATGTGGATAAGAGATATTGGAAGGGACGTCCGAATTAGTACAGGCAGGGGCGGAGCCAGGGTGGTGACAGGGTTCGACAATTGTCACCCCCGAAAAAAAAAATCGAAAATCTAAAACATTGCGTATAAGTGCAACTGCATTGTCAGAGTGTGTCGCCAACTGATGACGTGGGGTATAGCAGATTTCTCATTCAATCATTCTTGAAATTAAAATTTGTTGAATGTCACCCCGGGCTGAAAATCCTGGCTCCGCCCCTGCTTGCCCCGATAGCCTGTTGTATATTGACCCATGCTCATGAATACATATTTACATCTCTCTGCGCGTCTTATGTGTGCAAACATTAATGTGTCAGCTGGACCATGTGTCTATGCGTCTACATGCCAGCGTTAGTGTGTAACTACATATTTGCCCACGCGTCCGTATCCCGGTGCGTTTGGGGTGCAGCAGTGACGAGATGTTAACGACCTCGCGTGGTGTACACCAAGTCGTGGGTTCGATCCCGACCTTCATGCTGGTGTATTTGGAGTTTGCGTGTTCTCACTCTCCGTGGTCGCGTGGATTTTTCTCCGCGTTTTCCCTCCACAGTTAGAAACGTGCATTTAGATGATTTGGCTGCTTTAAATTCTCTACGCGATAAGCCACTTCGTTGGGCTTTCATTTGTGGCCAGGTCACTTCTGAAAGAGAGCTATTTAGCTCAGTGGGCCTTACCTGATAAAATAAAAACTAATGTTTAGTTTGCAAAAAGAAAAAGAGAAACTTAATATTTAAAAAAAATAAAAAAGAGAGACAGAGTGAGGTGCCTAGAGAGTGAGGAGAGAGAGAAAGTGAGGTGCTGAGAGAGTGAGGAGAGAGAGAGAGAGTGAAGTGCCGAGAGAGTGGGGAGAGAGAGAGTGAGGTGCTGAGAGAATGAGGAGAGAGAGTGAGGTGCTGAGAGAGTGAGGAGAGAGAGAGAGTGAGGTGCCTAGAGAGTGAGGAGAGTGAGGTGCTGAGAGAGTGAGGAGAGAGAGGTGCTGAGAGAGTGAGGAGAGTGAGGTGCCGAGAGAGTGGGGAGAGAGAGAGTGAGGTGCCGAGAGAGTGAGGAGAGTGAGGTGCTGAGCGAGTGAGGAGAGAGAGTGAGGTGCCGAGAGAGTGAGGAGAGAGAGACAGAGTGAGGTGCCTAGAGAGTGAGGAGAGAGAGTGAGGAGAGTGAGGTGCTGAGAGCGTGCACCCTGAGGAGCCACAAGGACCATGCCTGGAGGAAAGCCCTGGCCTGCATCTCTCCGGAGGGGCCTCGCTGGAGGCAACTCTACTCCAGCCCGACGTACAACCGCATCGGCGACCTCAGCTGGAGCATCGCCCACGGCACCGTCACCACCAACGCCTCCCTGGCGCGCTTCACCGGCACGTCCCCGGAGTGTCGGTTCTGCGGTAAAGTGGAGACGGTGGCGCACCGATACGTGGAGTGCAAGAGCCTGGACTCGCTGTTCAAGGTCCTGAGAAACATCCTCCTAAGGTTCAGCCTCCACTTCTCCCCGACGGTCCTCATCTTTGGATACCCGAAGGACGACGGACCCCAACATCTTCAGGGCCCGGTCAACTTGCTCTTCGGCTACGCCAAGCTCGCCATATAAAGGGCGAGGAAGGTGGCCCTGGAGGGGCAACGTCCGGCCAGCAGCCTGGGCATCTTCCGCACTCTGGTCGGAGCCAGGGTGTGGCTGGAGTTCCGCCATGCGCGGCTGACCCACGCCGTGCCGGCCTTCAAGGAGCAGTGGGCGCTGGAGGAGGCCGTGTGCTCGGTGGCAGATGACGGTAGAGAGCTCTGTGCATGCAGATCTAAGCTACCCGTCGGAGGCCGTTTGACTGTGGGAAGGGCTGCGTGCAGATGCAGCATTTGTCGTAGTTATAAAGAAAAAAGAGAGCGAGAGAGAGCTAAATGGATTAGGAAGAGAGGGGGCAGAGAGAGAGGGGGGGGCAGAGAGGGGGGTAGAGAGAGAGGAGAGACAGAGAGGGGGGTAGAGAGAGAGGGAAGGGGTACGGAGAGCAAAAAAAGAAAAAATATATTTTGTTGGGTCTTTCATTTAAAAGGGGGGGGGGGGGGTTACATAAAGCAAAGCATAAAAAAAACTAAAAAAACGAAATGATGAACGGAGCAAAGTGCCGACTACACCGAGCATCTTCTTGTTTCCTGTGATCGTAAAAAAAAAGAGTGAGGTGCCGACAGCGTGAGGAGAGAGAGACAGAGTGAGGTGCCGAGAGAGTGAGGAGAGAGAGAGAGAGAGACAGAGTGAGGTGCCTAGAGAGTGAGGAGAGAGAGACAGAGTGAGGTGCCGAGAGAGTGAGGAGAGAGAGAGACACAGACAGAGTGAGGTGCCGAGAGAGTGAGGAGAGAGAGACAGAGTGAGGTGCCTAGAGAGTGAGGTGCCGACAGTGTGAGGAGAGAGACAGAGTGAGGTGCCGAGAGCGTGAGGAGAGAGACAGAGAGACAGAGTGAGGTGCCGAGAGAGTGAGGAGAGAGACAGAGAGACAGAGTGAGGTGCCGAGAGAGTGAGGAGAGAGACAGAGAGACAGAGTGAGGTGCCGAGAGAGTGAGGAGAGAGAGACAGAGTGAGGTGCCGAGAGAGTGAGGAGAGAGAGACAGAGTGAGGTGCCGACAGTGTGAGGAGAGAGACAGAGAGACAGAGTGAGGTGCCGAGAGAGTGAGGAGAGAGACAGAGTGAGGTGCCGAGAGAGTGAGGAGAGAGACAGAGAGACAGAGTGAGGTTCCGAGAGAGTGAGGAGAGAGACAGAGTGAGGTGCCTAGAGAGTGAGGAGAGAGAGAGAGACAGAGTGAGGTGCCGAGAGAGTGAGGAGAGAGACAGAGTGAGGTGCCTAGAGAGTGAGGAGAGAGACAGAGAGACAGAGTGAGGTGCCGAGAGAGTGAGGAGAGAGAGAGACAGAGTGAGGTGCCGAGAGAGTGAGGAGAGAGACAGAGAGACAGAGTGAGGTGCTGAGAGAGTGAGGAGAGAGACAGAGAGACAGAGAGACAGAGTGAGGTGCTGAGAGAGTGAGGAGAGAGACAGAGAGACAGAGTGAGGTGCTGAGAGAGTGAGGAGAGAGACAGAGCGACAGAGAGACAGAGTGAGGTGCCTAGAGAGTGAGGAGAGAGACAGAGAGACAGAGTGAGGTGCCGAGAGAGTGAGGAGAGAGACAGAGTGAGGTGCCGAGAGAGTGAGGAGAGAGACAGAGCGACGTGCGGAGCCGCGCTCGTCATACCACAAACCCAGCAACCCGAGTTTGATTCGCGGTCGTGGCGAACATCGGTGGTGAGATCGGTGATGAGCGATATCTGAAGCGGCCCTGCTCCCACCACCCCCCACTGCCACCATTTACCAAGCCGCACTGACCAGAGTGGTGAAGTATGGTCATACAACCCTCACGACCGACACGGCACGGTGAGATGCTTCATGCAGGTTTGTATTGACACACAGAGAGGGAGACGTGTGTCAATGCAAAGATGTAGCGAGATGTACACAGAGAGATGGTGGTAGTAGTGGTGGTGATGTGTGTAGAGGTGGTGTTGATGATAGAGGAGGAGGTGGCGATGGTACAAGAGGTGGTGACGGTACAAGAGGTGGTGATGGTAAAGGAGGGGGTAATGTTAGAGGAGGTGATGATGGTACAAGAGGTGGTGACGGTACAAGAGGTGGTGATGGTAAAAGAGGTGGTGATGGTAAAGGAGGTGGTGATGGTAAAAGAGGTGGTGATGGTACAGGAGATGGTGATGGCGGCGTCGTGGCGCTCACCGTGGAAGGGCCCCAGCTCGTTGACGGTGCGTGCAATCGTGAGCACCGAATCGTCGAAGCCGACGCTGTAAGCGGAGGCCGCTGTGGAGTCGAAGAGACGCTCACCCGGCGCGGCCCGGGCCGGGTCCACGGTGAACCACCAGGCCCGCTGGTCTGCACCGCACCACACACCGTACCGTACCACACCGCACCACGCACCGCATCACACCACATCCCCACCACGCACCACACCACATCACACCACATCCCCACCACGCACCGAACCACACATCGCAAAATGCACCAAACCACGCACCGAACCGCACACTGCAACACACATCACATCGCTCCACACCACACATCGCACCACACACCATACCACACATCGCACCACACACCATACCACACATCGCACCACACACCGTACCGTACCACACCGCACCACGCACCGCATCACACCACATCCCCACCACGCACCACACCACATCCCCACCACGCACCACACCACATCCCCACCACGCACCGAACCGCACACCGCAACACACATCACATCGCTCCACACATCACATCGCACCACACACCATACCACACAGCACCACACACCATACCACACACCATACCACACCGCGCCACACACCACACACCATACCACACATCGCACCACACACCATAGCACACCGCACCACACACCGCTCCACACACCACACATCACACCGCCCCCTCACACCGCACCACACACCGCACCGCTCCACGCCGTGCACACCACACACCCCACCGGACACACCGCGCACATAACAACAGTCGCCATTCGCCACTAAGTGGCAGAGACGTTACCATGACGCTTGTGCCATGCTAGGTGCACCTTGAGGCCACGTGATTTGTCGAATGCTCACTGCTGACAGAAAGTCATGAGACAGACCGAGGTGCCATGGGTTGATTGTCAGATGCACCACCTGTGCCCCCTACTGTGCCAACTTGATTTGTTTTAGCTGTCCCTTGACCGTGTGTGTGTACCATGTGTGTACCATTTGTCTATACTGCGTGCATGTACCGTGTGTGCCGTGTGTGTGTACTGCTCCTGTATTCCGTGTGTGTGTACCATGTGTGTATACTGCGTGCATGTACCGAGTGTGCCGCGTGTGTGTGTGTACCATGTGTGTACCATTTGTCTATACTGCGTGCATGTACCGTGTGTGCCGTGTGTGCGAGCGAGGGCTGGGCGCGTTCCTCACCGTCTGTGTGAGTGTTTCCGTCTCCACCCGCCGCCTCCTCCTCCTCCCTCTGGGCTGGGATCACGTTTGGAGCTGAGATGTAAACTGCAGTACACACAGACACACAAGACAAAGATCCCCCTATAGCCTTAACAGACAAATGGGGCAAGTGCTGTGAGCGATCACCTTTGAAGGCTGGAACGGCACACGCAGGGAGTGGGTGGCCAGCGCCACGCCTGATCGCCAGTGGCGATGTTTACACACCGCACCAGGTACTCATTCGAGGCTGAGTTGACCGAAGGGAGGCCCAGGACCGGTTCAGATAATCGTCACTGGTGTTGGTCGTGAGAGGTAATCGAACTCGGGTCCCGCTCCCCACACATGCTACCACTAAATTAATTCGCCGTGGCTCCTGTGCCCAGCCAGGGGCACAGCCAAGCCACGACGACCGCTATCGCCACTAACAACAAGCGCTGGCTGCTGGGTGGTGGAATAAAACTGGAGACTGTGCACCACCCGCGGTGCACAGCACGGGAAGGGGAGTAGCGTGCCAGGGGGCACGGTGAGGGATGGGAGAAGGGGACAGTAGAGAGAAAGAGAACGCCTGGGGAGCGAGAGGGCAGGGGCAGGAAGAGGAGCGGAGGGGTGCACGAGAGATGGGGAGAGGGAGAGGGAGGAGGAGGAGGCTACACGAGGGCTTCGACGCCGCTGCTGCTGCTGCTGGAGGAGGAGGAGGAAGGGCGGCATCTGTTTTGACAGTGGGCGGGGAGAGGGGGAGAGGTTCAGAGTGGGGTGCTCCACACAAGAGTCAATCTGTTAATGTAGTCCGAATCGCAGTAAGGGCGATTGAGTAATTTTCGATGTAATTTTTCAAATCTGGAAATAATTCAGACCCTGGCGCTGGCCACACAATGGCCTACTCTTGCCAACGACGTCACGTGATTGTTGTGCCGTCCGCCGCGAAGCAGACGGCACGTGGTATCATCGCCGTTACTACGCGCACCGCCGTAATAACCGGGGCGGCCGCTCGATTCGAAACCATGAACCCACGCGACGAGCGGCCAGCGCGGCCGACCGCTGGCGAGGGCTGCTGCACGGTGACGGTGGCAGCGGCAGGCACTACCGCCGGCAGAGTCCCCGGTGCCGCCGGTACCCTCACCCAGCTCTGCGTGCTTCTTCAGGATCTTGCGCAGGGAGCCCGTGCGGTCCCGGAAGCTCTTGCCATTCTGCCTGCTCACAGACACGGATTGGCGCGTCACCAAAAACACCACGACCACCGCGACTGGCACGAACCGCCGCTCCGAAAGCCCGCGGCTCCCCTTTGCCACAGACACCTACCGCCTGCGGGTGGCGGGATCGGCGCCTTCGCCGATAATCGCTCCCAGGCGTAAGCTCAGTGGGATTTTTTACAGCACGTCCATCCACGGAGATATACGGGACGGGATGGGATCACGCACAGGTGCTGGATGGATCGTCCCATCCAGCACCTCGCCTGGTACACAGAAGGTCGTGGGTTCCATCTCAACCGTGACGCCTGGAAATTTGTAGTTTGTGTGTTATCTCCCCATGGTCACGTGAAATTTTCCCTCCAAATTTAGAATCTACATCACGCGTTTAAAGTATTTGGCTCCTATAAATTTCCACATGATATGCAGAACCGAAATTAAAGCGAGTGGTATTTTTGTGCAGTCTTTGGTGACCGGGCCGAGTGAGACCATAAACTCGCCGCATTAGAGCACCCGGATTAATCACGGGTGGCTGCCTGGACTCAGATCCAGGATCTCGGCGGTGCCAACTCGGCACTGACGAGATTGGTTGGCTTCCCCTGTCACTCTCCAGAAGGGGGCGAATCACCAAAGTCGATCAACAGGCAAGGTAGCGTCGCCGGGAATTACCCGCGGAGAGCCGAAGGCGCAAGGGCAGCGCCTGGCGAACTCCAGTGGTGATAACAGCCGTCTCGCCGGGCACGCAAGAAACCCAGACTGAGCTGGGATTGAGCTTAATGGGTGCCAGATCACGTTGCTAGATGGGACCGTGCAGGGGCGCAACAACCTACTGTAAGATAAGACTGTGGGCCCGCCCCCCCTCCTTTCTCCCGACTCACTTTACTCAAATAGCTACGGATGTTTTTAACCCGTGTTTATAATAATGTTGGGCTATAGCTCTATATATTATTTTAGTTGTACCGTGTATTGGGTTCAGTGGAAGACAGTCTCACAGTGACAGTATTAATAAAAAAAGATTTAAAGGTACAACACTCACAATTAAGTTATCGTGCGTCTTGCTTTCATGCGCTTGTCAGATATAAAAATAAAAAAGCCTGGTGGTGTTCAGTAACAATCACCAGCAGTAGCGCTACGAGATTGTATGCTGTGCATATTTTTCAGAAAAGTAACTTTTTTAAATTATTCTCAGTCTTTTATTATCTGTTAATTTGGGGCCCCCAGCCAGTGACTGGAACGAGCTCCCCGTTGCACAACGGGGGATGTTGCGACCAACGGCGGTACATTAACAACAAGACCGCTGGCCGTGCCGAGCGATACGTCGCCAAGCAGGACGTCCGCGTTCTGCCTCCGGCGGCGCATTCCGGGATTCGCCGATCCCGAGCGGCGCTGGCTCAGTGTCTCCGACCCGGCAATTACGGGCGACGCCGGTAAAACTGCAATGGTTCGGCACCTCACGCAGAAGCGCCGGCTCGGTGTCTCCAATTCTAGGCCATTATGAGCGCCGCTGCGAGGGCTGCCAGGCCCAAGGGTTGGATCTCAGGGCCGTAAGCTGCGTTCTCTCTCCATGTTCCCCGCCGCTGCCCACCACCCCTCACCTGTATCCATGCAGGCACAGAATCTGAAAGGAAGCACAAACAACGCCGTCACCAACCACGTGAGTGCAGGCGGCATTCATATACGCAACTGCCCCTTGTCAATCCGCCGCCGGATGATGGCCTCCCCCAACGCTGTCACGGGGGGGGGGACGAAGTATTTGACCGTACTTCACCCACGAGGATTGCCAACTCTTGACTGAAGCTATTGCACAAAATTACGACGTCATGTCATTTAATTGTTCTGGAAGCACGTCCTGTTTACATGACACGCTATGTCATTACGCTGCCACGGGAAAGGAAAACGCAAAGAGATGACACCGTTTATGTTCCAGCAATGAACTTCCGTATGAATTGTGTGCGTTCATTACATTCATTGATTTCGTTAAATATCCTACCATTCAAATCTCCCCGTTCGCTTTAAATCGTCACCGAGAGATTGATGCCAAATTCCGGATGAGACTCCCGGCCACTCTGGGAAGGTTGGCATCCCTATCCACGCAGGCCTGCCAGAGTGGGTTGGTGATCGTGAGCAGCATAGTACAGTAACAATGGATGTCTCTGCTGCCCACAACGTAGCCCTGCAGCAGCAGCAGCAGCCAAAACACGTGGTTTATGCGTGGTGCTTGCCACCTCATGGCAAGGGTTGTTCCATTGAGGTGGACTGTTCCCTGCCATAGGAATGTGGAATTCCCCCTGCTGGGTGGGAACACACCACAGATACATTAGCACGGCTGTTACCATCGCTTTCGTCTTTGGAAGGGATTCCTAATTGGCTGCAGGAGCAATGAGGGGGTGGATGCGTGAGGGGGCTGGGAGCCCCGGCTTGGGTTCACACAAGGCCAGCGGCAGCCGCCACTGCATGCGAATCAGAATCAGCATTTATATTGGAGAAATCCGATGAGCTATGAAGCTCTTTTTCACATTTCCAGTCGGGGCGGGTAAGAACGTCGCAACAGTAAACAGTACAAAAACACGACGGTAGTACTAAGCACTAGAAATGCGAACAGATCACACGAACAAATACCACACTAAACCATCCTCATCCTCCTCTTTGGGTTTTTTCAGGTCAAGTCACGTAGGTAAAAAAATAAAATACAAATGAATGAAAACAACTAAATCAAATCACGACGTTTCGGAGGCAACACAAGCTTCCTTGATCAGGCGAAGCCCACTGAAGTATTCACAACGCGACCTGGCCACGAATTATAGCTTGACAAAAAGTGGCTTCTCTTTTGATTTAAAGCTTTCGTGACTGCAGGGATTCATATTATTTTTTCAAATTTTCTTGCTGTGGTTTCACACCTGATGATGATTGCTTGTGTTGCAGTCGAAACGTCGTGAGAATTTAATTGTTTTATATTTTTATTATTTCATTGTTTCCCTTCTACGTGACTTTACCGAAAGAACCAAGAATATAAGTGGCTTCTCATTTGGACATTTATAGCAGACAATAATGTAAGTAGTCTCAAGGCATGTTTCCACGGAAGGTGGAAACCCACTCAGCGATTACCACACCTGCAACACAGAGACTTTCTCAATAGCACCGCTGTGTGGCCTCAAACGTGATTACAATTATAGACGACGTTTCGGGCAATGGTCCTACTTAATATAAATTCACCACGCACTACAGCCCTCCTGCGTCACTCCACTGCTGGATGAAGGGCCTCCCCACACCACGCCGTGTTGGTCATGGCGGAGTGTGGCGTTTGACCATACTTCACCACGCCGGTGCGTGCGGTTTGGTGAAGGCGTTTCGGCATCGACGCGGGGTGCAATCGGAGTGGGGTCGAGCCACGGCGTTGTGAACTGCACTGCCCTCTGCTGACCCACAACACAACTCGCCGTGTGGAGGCGCTGTTGGGCCCGAGCGCTCACGGACCACCCGACGTCGACCCGCTCTGGCCGACCCTCGCAAGGCAGCTCGCGATCTGACCCAGGTCGCGACCCCCATTCCGCCAGGCCCAGGGGGGGGGACCCCAGGGCCACGGGATTCTGGGGTTCCACAACCCAGGTGAAGGGACTTCAACACCGTGGCTGGAGCCGTTGAGGCAACGTTGTTGGCCAGACGTGTTTATGATTACTGGGTAGGATGCTGGGCCCCGGAATCAGAAGGGGCCCAGGCGGTACCCTGAGACCACGGGACTCAGGCGGGACCCTGGGACCACGGAGCCCAAGCGGGACCCTGAGACCACGGGGACCTGAGACCACGGGGCCCAGGCGGTACCCAGAGACCACGGGACCCAGGCGGGACCCAGAGGCCACGGGACTCAGGCGGTACCCTGAGACCACGGGACCCAGGCGGGACCCTGAGACCACGGGACTCAGGCGGGACCCTGAGACCACGGGACTCAAGCGGGACCCTGAGGCCACGGGACTCAGGCGGTACCCTGAGGCCACGGGACTCAGGCGGTACCCTGAGGCCACGGGACTCAGGCGGTACCCTGAGGCCACGGGACTCAGGCGGGACCCTGAGACCACGGGACTCAAGCGGGACCCTGAGGCCACGGGACTCAGGCGGTACCCTGAGGCCACGGGACTCAGGCGGTACCCTGAGACCACGGGACCCAGGCGGGACCCAGAGGCCACGGGACTCAGGTGGTACCCTGAGGCCACGGGGCCCAGGCGGGTCGCCTCCACTGGGCCCGGGACCCCGTTCGCTCGGGGACCCCCCGAGACTCGGGGGATAGGGAACCTGAGATACGGGGCCCTGGGGATAGGGAGTCTGGGATACGGGGCCCTGGGGTTAGGGAGTCTGGGATGCGGGCCCCGGGGTTAGGGAGTCTGGGATACGGGCCCCAGGGCCCCGGGGTTCGGGGAGTCGTCAACGCGGATGTCCTCACCCGCAGGAGAGGAGGAGACGCGGCGCGCTCGGCGGCCATGGCGAGGAGGGCGACACCTGGCGGGGCGGGGCGGGAGCGCAGACACATACACTGTACACGTACACTGTACACACCTACTGTACGCGCGTACTGTACACACGCACTGTACAATGCACTGTACACATCACAGTATACACAGATAGAGTTCACACACCACACACACAGTACACACTACATACACACAGTACACACTACACACACAGTACACACTACACACACACAGTACACACTACACACACACTAACACACACACTACACACACACACTACACACACACACTACACACACACAGTACACACTACACACACACAGTACACACTACACACACACTACACACACACTACACACACTAACACACACTACACACACACACTACACACACACACTACACACACAGTACACACTACACACACAGTACACACTAAACACACACACAGTACACACTAAACACACACACACAGTACACACTAAACACACACACACACAGTACACACTAAACACACACACAGTACACACTAAACACACACAGTACACACTAAACACACACACAGTACACACTAAACACACACAGTACACACACATTACACACTACACACACACAGTACACACAGAACACACTACGCAGTACACACAGAACACACTACACAGTACACACAGTACACACTCCACACACACAGTACACACAGTACACACTACACAGTACACACAGTACACACTACACAGTACACACTCCACACACACAGTACACACACTACACAGTACACACTCCACACACAGTACACACTCCACACACACAGTACACACACACACACACAGTACACACTAAACACACACACACAGTACACACTAAACACAGACACACAGTACACGCTAAACACACAGTACACACTAAACACACACACACCGTACACACTAAACACACACACAGTACACACTAAACACACACACACAGTACACACTAAACACACACACAGTACACACTGAACACACACAGTACACACTAAACACACACACACAGTACACACTAAACACACACACACACAGTACACACTAAACACACACAGTACACACTAAACACACACACACAGTACACACTGAACACACACAGTACACACTAAACACACACACACAGTATACACTAAACACACACACACAGTACACACTAAACACACACACAGTACACACCAAACACACACACACAGTACACACTAAACACACACACACAGTACACACTAAACACACACAGTACACACTAAACACACACACACAGTACACACTAAACACACACACACAGTACACACTAAACACACACAGTACACACTAAACACACACACACAGTACACACTAAACACACACACAGTACACACTAAACACACACAGTACACACTAAACACACACACAGTACACACTAAACACACACAGTACACACTAAACACACACAGTACACACTAAACACACACAGTACACACTAAACACGCATACACAGTACACACGACACACACAGTACACACACATTACACAGACACTACACACACACAGTACACTCCACACACACTACACACACACAGTACACTCCACACACACACTACACACTCCACACACAGTACACACTCCACACACAGTACACACTCCACACACACTACACACTCCACACACACTACATACTCCACACACACAGTACACACTCCACACACACAGTACACACTCCACACACACAGTACACACGCACTTTACTACACACACAGTATGCACACAGATAGAGTACACACACAGTATACACACAGATAGAGTACACACAGTACATACACAGATAGAGTACACACAGTACATACACAGTACACACAGTATACACGCAGAGTACACACACACACTCCACACACAGTACACACTACACACATACAGTACACACGCACTACACGCAGATAGAGTACACACAGACATAAATAGTACAGACAAAGAGTACACACAGACACACAGATAGAGTCCACACACAGACACACAGAACACAGTGATACATTACCCCACCCCCTCGTGTGTGCCGTGCCGGCCTTCAGCCACAGAGTACACACAGAGACAGAGTACACACAGAGACAGAGTACACACAGCCACAGAGTACACACAGCCACAGAGTACACACAGAGACAGAATACACACAGCCACAGAGTACACACAGCCACAGAGTACACACAGAGACAGAGTACACACAGCCACAGAGTACACACAGCCACAGAGTACACACAGCCACAGAGTACACACAGAGACAGAATACACACAGCCACAGAGTACACACAGCCGCAGAGTACACACAGAGACTACACACAGAGACAGAGTACACACAGATACAGAGTACACACAGCCACAGAGTACACACAGCCACAGAGTACACACAGCCACAGAGTACACACAGAGACTACACACAGATACAGAGTACACACAGAGACAGAGTACACACAGCCACAGAGTACACACAGCCACAGAGTACACACAGAGACAGAGTACACACAGCCACAGAGTACACACAGCCACAGAGTACACACAGAGACAGAGTACACACAGCCACAGAGTACACACAGCCACAGAGTACACACAGAGACAGAGTACACACAGATACAGAGTACACATCACACAGTATACACAGATAGAGTTCACACACTACACACACACAGTACACACTACACACACACACAGTACACACTACATACACACAGTACACACACACACAGTACACAGTACACACTACACACACACAGTACACACTACACACACGCTACACACACTAACACACACTTCACACACACACTACACACACACAGTACACACTACACACACAGTACACACTACACACACACAGTACACACACACAGTACACACACCACACACAGTACACACACAGTACACACCACACACAGTACACACACAGTACACACACCACACACAGTACACACACACACAGTACACACCACACACTACACACAGTACACACACTACACACAGTACACACACTACACACAGTACACACTACACACAGTACACACTACACACACACAGTACACACCACACACACAGTACACACCACACACACACACAGTACACACAGAACACAGTACACAGTACACACAGAACACACTACACAGTACACACAGAACACACTCCACACACACACAGTACACACAGTACACACTACACAGTACACACAGTACACACTACACAGTACACACTCCACACACACAGTACACACACACAGGACACACACTGCACAGTACACACTTCACACACAGTACACACTCCACACACACACAGTACACACTAAACACACACACACAGTACACACTAAACACACACCCACAGTACACACTAAACACACACACGGTACACACTAAACACACACACAGTACACACTAAACACACACACTAAACACACACACACAGTACACGCTAAACACACACACAGTACACACTAAACACACACACAGTACACACTAAACACACACACAGTACACACTAAACACACACACACAGTACACACTAAACACACACACAGTACACACTAAACACACACAGTACACACTAAACACACACACACAGTACACACTAAACACACACACAGTACACACTAAACACACACACACAGTACACACTAAACACACACACACAGTACACACTAAACACACACACACAGTACACACTAAACACATACACACACAGTACACACTAAACACACACAGTACACACTAAACACACACAGTACACACTAAACACGCACACACAGTACACACGACACACACAGTACACACACACTACACACACACAGTACACTCCACACACACTACACACACAGTACACTCCACACACACACTACACACTCCACACAGTACACACTCCACACACACTACACACTCCACACACACACTACACACTCCACACACACACTACACACTCCACACACACACTACACATTCCACACACACACTACACACTCCACACACAGTACACACTCCACACACACAGTACACATTCCACACACACAGTACACACGCACTTTACTACACACACAGTACACACAGATAGAGTACACACACAGTATACACACAGATAGAGTACACACAGTACATACACAGATAGAGTACACACAGTACATACACAGTACACACACACAGTATACACGCAGAGTACACACACCTTAAACACTCACAGTACACACAGATAGAGTACACACATACACGCTCCACACACAGTACACACTACACACACACAGTACACACAGTACACACGCACTACACGCAGATAGAGTACACACAGACATAAATAGTACAGACAAAGAGTACACACAGACATACAGATAGAGTCCACACACAGACACACAGAACACAGTGATACATTACCCCCCCCCCACCCTCGTGTGTGCCGTGCCGGCCTTCAGCCACAGAGTACACACAGCCACAGAGTACACACAGAGACAGAATACACACAGCCACAGAGTACACACAGCCACAGAGTACACACAGAGACTACACACAGAGACAGAGTACACACAGCCACAGAGTACACACAGCCACAGAGTACACACAGCCACAGAGTACACACAGCCACAGAGTACACACAGAGACAGAGTACACACAGAGAGAGTACACACAGCCACAGAGTACACACAGCCACAGAGTACACACAGAGACAGAGTACACACAGCCACAGAGTACACACAGATACAGAGTACACACAGAGACAGAGTACACACAGAGACAGAGTACACACAGCCACAGAGTACACACAGCCACAGAGTACACACAGAGACAGAGTACACACAGCCACAGAGTACACACAGCCACAGAGTACACACAGCCACAGAGTACACACAGAGACAGAGTACACACAGCCACAGAGTACACACAGCCACAGAGTACACACAGAGACAGAGTACACACAGATACAGAGTACACATCACACAGTATACACAGATAGAGTTCACACACTACACACACACAGTACACACTACACACACACACAGTACACACTACATACACACAGTACACACACACACAGTACACAGT